ACCCCCTTGGTGCACGGTGCCTCTGTGGGTCACACCGTGAGACCCCCTTGGTGCACGGTGCCTCTGTGGGTCACACCGTGAGACCCCCTTGGTGCACGGTGCCTCTGTGGGTCGTGCCGTGAGAATTAACTGGGTGACACTGATATCTGGTGGCTCCTGTCTAGAAAGACGTGACTGGCCTCCTCCAGCCCAAGCAGGTGGCTCTGAGGGCCCTGGGCCTGCACCTGGCTTATGGCCGCTCTGCGTCTCCTGCCTTCAGCACAGCCCGTTCTGACGGACCCCACCCGGCAGATTCTCTGCTGTCGGCCTGTAGACTCTGGTCTGGGAACAGTGGCCATGCTCCCCTCATCTCTCCTAGCTCGGAGCAGACCATTTTCCGGGCAGTGTCTGCCAAAGCCCCCGCTGCAGGGGCAGGCTTACCCGGCTGCAGAAGGAGGAGGGGGCTGGGGAGAGGGTGACCCCCCTCCCAAGCCCGAGTTGCTGGGCCTGCCTGACGGGGCCGACAGCCTCTCCCTGCTGGACCCACACTGAGGCTCACAGCACACACCAGCCCTTCAGGGCCTTGCTCTTGGTCACTTTTCACTGGGCCCATGGGCCAGCCACCCCCTTGGCCAGCCAAGGAAGGTGGTGGCTCGTTCGTGTCATTGAGCAAAAGCCCACGAGTGCCCACATGTGCCAGCGAGCCCAGGGTGCGGGCTCCATCCCTCTCCCCGGGAAACACACGCTGCTGCCTGGGGCGCCCTCTAGTGGGAGTGCGGGGCGTGTGCTCAGAGCTCCCTGCCCCGTGGGGATCCGTGTCCGCGGAGTCCTGGCTCTTCCCAGCCGGTGGGGTCGGGCCTACACGAGTGCTGGGAACCCCATGAGCAGAAGAAGCGGGATGCCTGCGTGGTTGGGGGGTTATGGGGTGACGCCAGCCTCTGCCGGCAGATGTACGGGTCACAGGACGGTGACATCGATGAGGACGCCCTGTCTAGCATCCTCAAGACTGCCCTAGGGGTGGCAGAGCTCAGCGTGACCAACCTCTTCCAGGCCATTGACCAGGAGGGGACGGGGCGGATCACATTTGGTGAGTGGCCCCAGGGGCAGGGGGAGGAGGGGCCCATTGTGCAGGGGTGTGCCTGGAGGTGGGGCACGGGGACACAGTGGGAGCGACGCCCATGCGTGCTCACCAGGGCCATGCTGTCCTGTGCAGTGTGGAATTCCCAGAAGGAGGGGTCGTCCCCAGGCCTGGCAGGGGCAGGTTAGGGGGTCTGGAGTCTGTGTTGTATGGGGGATGGATAGAGCCAGAGCCAAAGCCCACACTGGGAGCCCCAGATCCATGCCATCCCCGGGGGCTGCAGGCAGTATGGGCTGAGGCCGGGCCGTGACAGCCCACAGGGGTCCCTGGTCTCAGTCCCCCATGGAAGCAAGAGCCTGCCCCTCAAGGCCGACCACTGCTGGCATGTCCTCGTGGGCTGGGGGACGGGGGGGCTCATCACTTTTAGCCACGCAAATTGGGACAGCTAAGGTCCTCGGGGACTCAGACCTGAAACCCACTTGTAGGCTGAGGGAAAGGGATCTGGGGTGATTGGGTCCCCGGAAGGCTGCCCCGCTCAGCGGGCCCACCAGTGCGCACGTTTGGAAATGAATGTATTCTCGCTAAAAAAGAGGAGACATTTGCTCAGGAAAGGTCACGGTTCATGTCTTGTTTGGACATGTTTTTAAAATTGCAACCAAATGTCAGACACGGGTGTGTGTGTTGATTTAGAGCGTGTGTGTGTGTGTGTGTCTGTGTGTGTCCACCTGCTCGAGGAGTAGACCGTGCGTCCCCGTGTGCTCCGGTGGTGGGCTGGGGAGGGGCTGTTCACAGTGAGCGCTGACCAGCTGCAGACGTTTCCCAGTAAGTCCTTCAGTGCCCCCAGAGGAGCACGGGTGGTTTTCCCTGGGGTCCGTAGTCTCCCACACCCAGGCCTGTGAGTGTCCCCGTGCTCTTGGAGGGCACCGTCCACCCCAGGACTGGGTCCCAGGGCTGTTGGGAGAGGCACGGCCTCACACCTGCTCAGCCCTGTGACCAGCACGGACAGTGGCCCTGTCTCCCCGGGCGCACGTCTGGTCTCTCCGGAGCACGGCCGTGTCCCTCAATAGCTCTTGCCATGCCGAGATCAGGTCCTCACGTGGACGCTTTGTCCTGTCCCCAAACCAGATCCTCTGACGAGCAGCGCCTTCCTTGCACACGGACCCAGAGCACACTGCGGGGATCCAAATCCTGCTCTCTGTAGATTTTCCCCCAAACGGGCATAGCCGAGAGCCCTGAGCTGGCCGCTCTGTGATGAGCAGCCGAGAAAACGGGAGGACCCTCCTGTCCCCCGCCCCGTCCCCTCTCTCCCCCTTCCTCTCCTCTCCCCTCCAACCTCCCCTTCCCCTCTTGAGGGCATGGGTTCCAGCCCCAACGGAAGGGTGTGAGGTGGGGGCACCTGCCCCCCCAAGTCCAGGTGTTGCCCCCAGCTTACCCAGTACCTCTTTTTCCAGCGGATTTCTGCAGTTTTGCAGAAACGTTCCCCCACTTCGCAGAGGAGTACCTATACCCCGAGCAGACACACTCGGACGGCAGCGCACAGACGCCACTCACTCCAACCCCCAATGGCTTCTGCGCGGACTTCAGCCCCGAAAACTCGGACTTCGGAAGGAAACCTTTCCATGAGAAACTGGACTAGGACAGAAGGTTCTGGAGAGATGTGGCTCTGTGCGTGTGCCAGCCTCGGCCTGAGTTCCACGACACCCGGGGTTGTTCTGACCCTGGTCCTCTGCAGAGAGCCGTGTAGGGACGGGGCTGTGTGAGCCCCGGGGCGCTGTCCCCCCCACGACGCCGGCTGTAGCCGAGTCCCCTGCACTGTCCCCGGGTCACTTGCCACCGTGGTTTTTCCTCACATTCCTGTCGGAGTCTGCGTTCAGTGGCTCGCACAGGTGGACGGGCCTCCACACGCACACGCACACGCGTGAGACCAAGACGTGTCATGTGCATTTTGATTCCAGCACAAATCCTCTGCCAGCCTCTGTGGGGTCACAGCGAGGCAGGGCCGTGTCTGATTTTTAAACATTTCTATATTTGTGAGAACTCATGAGTATTTTCTAAACTTCATTTAGATACTTCAGGAAGCATTCAGCATTTTTAAAAAAAGAAGAAAAAATTGTTTTCTACTTCATTTTTTCCTTCGAGGGCCAGAGGATATTTATTTATGGGCCCTTTTTTGATAGAACCCGAGGCTGTCTGGGGCTTTGACTTAAACCTCTCTGTGACCTCTCTCGACCAGGTACATTCCAGCGTCTGGCTCCGCCGCACACCCTGGCCCAGACGCCTTTTCTGCTTCTTTAATCCCTTTCAAACCCCCTCTTTTTTATAGACGTCACCAGCTCGGTGTTTGTTTAACGTCATGTCGTCCACGTCCCTGCGGCCCGGCTCCGGCCAAAGCACGGAGGGTCAGTGAGGTGGGGGCGTCGCAGGTCGCGGCCCCCGGCCCGGCTGGGGCGACTAGCAGGTCCTAGTGGGAGGCGGGTCCTGGCAGGGCACTCCCTGTGGACACCTGCCTGGCCGCCCACCCACACCCCTTGTGCATCCCAGCTACGTCCCGCCCCGCGGCCCCTGCCCAGCGTCCTGGAAGGCGCCGGGGCCTGCACCTGAGTCGGGGCGAGGAGCAGGGTCTCCACACGCGGCGGGTGGGGGGGCCTCCCCCACCCCGGCCCAGCCCCGCCTCGCAGCTCCCGCCACAGACGCCCACTCTTCAAGCACACGGGACCACAGCCTCTAGCTGGGTCTGAAGCGAAGCCTCCAGGTTTGCTTGGGGAAAAAGTCCTTTTGAATTTCTAAACAAATTGGATTTTGTATTTGGGTGTCTCCATAGAACGTGACCACCAGGGCCACCAGAAAAAACGCTCGCGGGCCTCCCCGGGCGTACGGGCGTGCACTCCCACCCCGCACACGCGGCCTCCCCGGCGCGCGGTCGTCGCCGGCTTGTCGCTGCAGGAGGCACAGAAATTCATTCTTCGAAGAGGAACGTCCAAGGGACCCATGAAGGAGGCAAACAAACGAAGATACTCTGCGGGTGGGGACCCCCACGTGGCCCCCGCACCCCGGGTCTGCGCATGAAGGGCTTTTTGAATGAGGCGCCACCGAGCGTTCAGGAAGAGTCTCTGAAAGCAGACCCAGAACGGACATTTGTTCCTCCCGATCCCCTTCCCCGCCGCCGCTCCGCGTCCCGGACCGTGCGTGTGCGTAGCCTGGGAGTCCGTCCCTTCGGTGGGAGGTGCGGACTGAAGAGGCCCCAGGAGGACTGGGGTCCCTCGGGTTTTCCGTGGAATGAATAAAATGTAGTCTCGCCCACATGACGACATACTTTGTTATGCGTGTGGCGTTTTATCCGCGAGACAACAGCAGGGGTGCCCGGGCGGCTCAGTCCAGGAAGCGCCATAACTCGACCTCAGCCCCAGTCTCGATCACAGGGTCAGGAGCTCAACCCTACGCTGGGCTCCCTGCAGAGTGGGGCGCCTACTTAGAAAATCAAAAAGAAAAGAAAGACAACAGCAGATGTGTCTTGGGCTGTGGCAGAAAACCAGTCAAGGTGGGGTTTCTCGGCAAGTCACCCAGCATGTTTGGAAAACACAAGAATTGAAATTCTGTAGGAAAGTCTTCCTTGATCCCAGAGGCAGGCCCGGCGCGGTGCAGCCTCATCAGGTCAGTGGCCGGCACTGGGACGCACCGACGCGCGTGGCTGTTTGCCGCAGCGCTGGGTTGGTCCCCAGAATCCCTCTAGCGAAAGCCGTAAACGCACTTCGTGAAGCCCGAACGAGACGGGATCTCGCACTCAGTTCTCTGCTCCAGGCAGTGAAGGCTTAGAATTAGAGGAAATAGGGCCGAAGCATTACAGCCTCCGAAACGGAAGGAAGGGGGGTGAGGGAGTCGCTGGCTCCAGGTCTCCACTAGAACGAGCCGGTCCCGCTCAGCAGCACGTGCACCAGGGGCTGCACGGTTCCGCCCCGGGCGGTCCGAGGAGGGCGCCCAGGCACGCGTTCCACTGGGACTCAGCGGGTTGTACTTCTCTGTGCTCGTATTTGCCTGTTTAATATAAAGGGGCGTCGCCCCCACGATGGCAGGGACTTTTTGGGCTGGACCCGCTCCCCAGCGGGGACGGGAGCAGCCGCCGCGGGCTCCAGGCACAGCGCACCGCGGGTGACATGGCCCGTGCACGCCCCCAGCGACTTCTGCACACGCTCGGCGTGCCGCACCCCCATGGGAACAGGCTTGAGTGGGATGTGTGCCGCGGGAGGAGGGAGCTCCAGGGGATTCCTTCAGAAACAGGAAGCAGAAGAGGCACCCCTGCCTCCCCACTGCCAGGCCCCAGCCGGGGGGCCCGCCCGACCATGCTGGTCCAGCCTGGGCCCTGGGGGCCACCGGTAGGAACGCGTCTGACCCCAGGCCTTGGCTCGAGGAGCAGGGCTTTGAACTCGGGGGTGGGCACGGCCCGTCCTCTCCCTGGGTTCCTGCCCTCTTACGGCGTGTGACTGACGTCCAGTGGGTGCCTCTCCTAACGCAAGGGAACGCTTACTGCACAAGCAGACACTTTTACCTTCTCCCCAAAAATGTACCATCTCACAGTCCTCACGGCCGTCCTTGGGCAGCGCTCATGCTGCCGTCACGTAGCCCTCCGATGCTTCCCAGTGTGGAGAGAGTCACACATTCACCATTCAACACTACTAATATTCCTGCACAAAATATGGTGGAGGCCGAGGCAGGGGAAGGTGGGTGAGTGGTCGGCCACCCGTGTGCACTCTCTCATGCGCACACACATGCACGCACACACACACAGCAGGCCATGAAGTCGTCCCCATGGATGGCACCAGCCTGGCCTTGTACCTGCTTACAGGGCTGGGACCACGGCTTACAAACTCCCTCCCCCGCCCCACGGCATGTGTCCTCGGCGGCCGCCGGTTCCTCGGAAAGTGAAGGTTCTCCACCTGGTGGAGGGTTTTCCCTCCAGAGAATGCGGAGCCTTTATTAGCCACGATCTTGGCGATGATTTATTAGCCACGATCTTAGCGATGAAAGTGCCCAGAGGACCCTCAGGGCTCCAGAGAGAGAAGAGCACCATGTCCTGCACCTATCAGCTCCCCGTGTCCCAGAGGGTCTGCAGCCGGGGCGGCCCCAACAGCTATGACCATCTGAGCTTCAGAGCAGGGGGTGGAGCCCAGGGGTCCATCCCTGGGAACCACGATCTTAAAGCGAAACAGCCCCAAGCTGCCAAGAGGGCGCTCGGTGAGGACGGCGAGCTGCCAGAGGCAGGGACAGCAGGCACACGCGCTGCTCATCTCTCCGAGGGCGGGCCGCTCACCGGCCTGAGAGCGGGGCCTCCCCCGGCAACTCCGCCAGGCGGGCAGCACAGGGAGGGGGCAGTGACCCCTGTGTGCAGGGCTGCAGCTCCCCGGACACGAAGCACCTCGGCCCTGCTGCGGGCTCACCGACCAGACCCACACGGCAGCCGGAGCTCAGTCCCACGGAGGAGGGGCTGCCAGGAAGCCCAGGCAGGTCCTCAAGACAAAGCAGCATCCGCCGCCCCCCAGTAACTACCGGCTGTCAGATGGGCCGTCCCTGCCCGTGTCACAGGCGTGGGCTGCGCTGTGGACAGCCCCCGTGTCGGTCCACAGCCCAGAGCACAGCCTGCCTATCGTGGGCACCACCGCCTAGGAACACGCCCCACGTTCCAGGTGCCGTCCCAGGCGGCAGCCTCCTGGGTCCTTCCTCCGGCGGCGTGGCTAGCTGCTTGGGGCGGGCAGGGAGCTTGGCCAGAGCAGTGGGTTCACGTGCCGGCGTCCTCTAGCGAAGCACGGCCCGTGGCGGTGTCACGCCCGATGGGCGGCCGGGAGGAAAGGCCCTCATTAAGTCGCAGATGGTGCTGGCAGAGCTGCCAAGGGCAGAGAAGGCAGATCCGTCTCCGGAATAAGCGTATTAAAACAAGGACGCATCCCCCTTCAGTGGGGGAGGCTCCAGCAGCAGCGTCCCCACGCCCAGGGACAGCACCACGTGGGGGGCTACATCCTGAACCTGCCTCTGTCAAGGGAGAAGCCGGTGCGACTACCTTAGGCCGCCAAGTTCCTGGGTCGTTGACCCGAGCTACAGCCCAGCCCCCTGCCAGCCCCGCTCTGGGCACTGTCTTTAAGCCCACGCCGCGCTGGCTGGGCGAACGGGCGGCTGCCCTCCAGCCCTTTGTCACGCCCCGGACCAGGTCCCAGAGACCAGACGCTCGGGGACAGTGCCCCGCGGTGTGTGCGCTCCGGGTGAAACAGCAGGAGAGCCGACCAAGAGAGACCCTCAGTGCCCGCCCACATGCGACTGGGTCCCAGAAACCCAGTCAGGGCAAAAACACCGACTTGACAAAATAATGGCCAGAATGTTTCCAAATCTACACTCAGACATCCAAGAAACTCAGTAAGCCACAAGCAAAATAACGGTAAGAAAAAGACACCAAGGCGCGTTATTTTAAAAACACAGACTGAGAGCCACTTGCAAAGAGCTGTCCTACAAGCAGCCAGGGAAAAGGCAAGATTATCCCCGAGCAAAGGTGAGAATGGCACGCACGCGGGAGCGGGCTGCACGTGAGGGTCGTGAGGGTGTGAAGACAGACCGCGGTACAGGGATATTGTAAGCCCCCCAAAGAAAAGAAAGACATACAACTAAGAAGCCAGTGGGAGAAAGGAAACAAGATCTTTTTAAAATAATAATTTATCCTAACTAGTCAGGAAACCGAGAAAAAAGAACAAAGGACAGACAACACAGAAACAGCACACGGTAAGTTTCAGTCCAACCATACTAGTAATTACATCAGATGGAGCCTAAAACCCCTCCATCAGCTGGCAGTCCGATTCTCTTTAGACAACTAACTCCGTGTGATTTAAAGGCACACTGAAAGTGTTTTAAATGGGAGCGATCCAGACCAGGCCGACAGGACCGTAAGGTCAGCGGGCTGAGACGGACGTCCACCAGCCACCAAGTGAACATGGAGACGAGGGGATTCCCCTGCACGACCACCCAGGGCTCCGTTCAGCCGGAAGACACCACAGTCCCAAAGGTACATGTACGTGTACCTAATGACACCGCTCAAATATATTTAGCCAGCGCGGACAGAATTAACAGGAGAGATAAACAAATCGGCAAATACAAGTGGGGATCCTAACACAGCTCTCTCGGTAATCGATAGAAGCAGCAGGGGGAGAAACATAATTATGTAGAAAATTTGAACAACCCCATTTACCAAATTGACTTAATTGCTCTTCCAAGGGCACACAAAGCAGTTGACAAAGCAGACTACGCCCTTGGCTAGAGAGTACATCTCTGTAAACTTCAAAATATTGAAATTATACGGAGCGTGTGTCCTCATCAAAATGGAGCTGCACAACGTGAATTCTGCCCGCGTTGCAGGAGCAGGGCTGAGCCCCGTGACCCAGCAGACCGCACCAGGGACCAGGTGTCCTCCCAGGAGCACAGCCAGAGCTGGTTAGGTTCTGATTAATTCTTTCAAACTTAATGGAAGTTAATGAGTCCACAATTTTGCTCTAGTAAGGTGGGAGAAACCAAGACTGGGTTGATCCTCCCTCCCGGAACAGGCCATTAAGTGGAAAACTCCGATGGGATTTGCCTCAGCAATGAGAAATCCTCACCCTGGCCAAAACACTGCTCCGATCCAACCAAACAAAGCTTAAAAGCAAGACCTGGAAGAATGACCAGATGGTTTACAAGTTACTTACCTGTAGCCCCAAACAAAGTTCCAGAATATTCTCAGGAATGTCACATTATCCAGCACCCCACAGGGCAAAATGCACAATGCCTGGCATCCGATCAGAAATCGCCAGGATGCAAGAAAGCAGAAAGCTGTCTACTCGGCTGAGCCAGCCCCGCCAGGACCGGGGTGAGGCCATCCGCAGGCCAGGCGCGGACAGCGTAGTCCACAACTCAACTCTATCACCTGCCAGCGGGGCCAGTGTGCAAGGTGTTCAGTAGAGAAGTGGAAAATATCTTTTAAAAGACGCGAGTCTGAATTCTAGAGATGAAAACTACAGTGTTAGAGTTGCAAATGCACGGGTTGGGTTTAAGGGTGGATTTGACATGGCAGAAGACACGGCAAGTGATCTTGAAGATAAAGCCATGCCAACTATTCAAAATGAAATAGAAAAAAAGAAAAGATTGAACTTTGCATCAATGAGCAGTGGGACCTCAGTTGCCTGATGGGGTCCCCAAAGGAAAAGGGCAAAGAAAAAATATTCAAAGAAATAACTTCCTAAATTTGATGCAAACCATAAACCCACAGATCCAATGTGCTCAATGAGCTCCAAGCACAGGC